CTGCATCCTGTATGCTTTTACATGGTAAACTTCGTGTTTTAACCCCATTTTCACAACTAGGTTTATGACATGAGCCATACACCTAATGTGAAAATATTTGCTATTCTCATAAATACCCGGAAGTTCTTTCACAATGATGTTGATTGCCGCGTCATTCGTCTTGGCATTATCAACGATCATCGTCATGACATTCTTCATGCTCCACGTGTTTATGGAAATTAGCAACTCCAGAGCCATGTCTTCACCTTTGTGAGTATCAACCTCTCTAAAGTTGACTACCCTTTTATGCATGACAAAATCTTCGGTAATGAAGTGGGCCGTGACAACCATATAATTTATCTTTTGACACGAGGATGTCCACGTGTCAGTTGTCAAGTGGATGGCTGTTTTGGGGTTGCTCAAATGTTTGTACAACTTCTGCCTCTCCATTAAATAGTGTAACATCCCCATTTTCACGGCCAGAAAAGACCGATTTGTTTATGCTATATTTTGAAAATCAGAGTATCTTTTAAAGAAATATGTTGCAGAATTTGTTCCCAGAAAAACATGATAAATACGTTATCAAAGCATTTCCGAAGAAATGTATTTTTATCCATTTTAAAACATTTGGGATGTCATCGTCAATACAGAAACATAAGCATAAACAGAACTTACATTCATTTACACTAGTGATCTACATCTCTTTTAAATCCCTCAGTGTAAAGTAGCTTCATATCGACACCTGTGATAAAAATAAGCTTGAGTGAGTCAGGTTGGGAAACCTGGTGAGTATATAGGGTTTTCAACCCACAATAATATAATTATTTATGTTAAACATCAAACAATCAACTCAATTACCCATCCCCATTATCTTCTTTACTCTTAAGGACCTACCCTAAGATCCAGCTATTCCTCGTTCATTCATTCCTAAGGAGTATCCTAAGGAATCGGCACTAAGTCTGCATAGTCGCTAGGGTTTATCTCGTTTATTGACAGTATCGTTTTCGAGAGTCCACTCGTAATACCTGTCAATGGGTTTTTAGAGTACACCGGGGTGAACACATCGTTCACAACACCTATAGGTTGCGAGCCTGCTATTGTTCCACTAGACTGTCTAGAATAGTCCGTGGTTGTCATCCATACTCTGCTAGATGACGGGGCCATCGCTTGGGTCATCGTTTGACTCGTCGTTTGGCTCATCGTTTTGGCTCATCGTTTTGGCTCATCGCTTTGGCTCATCGTTTTGGCTCATCGCTTAGGTCATCGCTTCGCACCATATTTTATCACTCATATATCATCGCTCATCATTCATCTCATTTTTCATCGCTCATCTTTCATCACTTATCTTTTATCTCATCTCTAATCTACCCATGTTTTACCCAACACATTTTGTAGATATAAAATACATATACAGTTTAGATCATTTAAAACATGTATAAAACGTTTCATCCAGCATAGACAACAAGTATTCAGACAGTATATACACATAGCACGTAATTTATATAAAATACTTCATATCTATGTGTAAGATGAAAGTAACTATGCACTCACTTGTTAAAGTGATGACTCCAAACTCGGGCAGCGCTTCGCTTTTAACGATTCTATTTTCCTTCGACGAAACCTAACATTATTATCGCTAAGTTTTAGTCTAATCTTTATTGCGACTAATTATTAGTCTAGATTCATCATTAAATCAAAGTCTATTTCATGATCTATCAAGTAAGGATCAGCCAGGCAGGACAGTTGGGAGGCAGGACCATTTCGGCATATAGCTTTTCTGAAATCCAACAATCAAACCCAACGTGACCATTCTAGACACCTCTCCCGTAAGTAGTTCAATCAGTATAACGACTTTGAATCACTGATAAATTCTATTTATAGGTTCATAATAACGATATTATATTTAAATATAAGCTATATTTAAAGTATGGTAGGCGTATCTCACTTACATCAGGTTTATATTAAAAACTGGGCTTCGTTGGAGCAGCGTTTCCGAGCCGTAAAGCTCTTTTTCTCGGAGCCGTTGGGCGCTCCGAGGCTTCCTTCTAATGCTAGGGAGGTTCCCTAGATTTGGGAGGGGTTTAAGGAGGTTAGAGAGAAGTTAGAGAGAGAAAGAGAGGGTGAAAGGTGTGAGAAAATATGAAGGATTCACCCTTTATTTATAGGGTTTTATCGTAAAGTAGTCCCTAAGTTTCGTCCGTATCTTTCGCGTACGAGCTCCGTTTTCTACGTTCTTTATATCCACGTGTTGGTATTTACGAGTACTACAACTTTCATTTAGACCCCGTCGGCTAATTCCCATTCTATCTCAAATTTACAAAACTGTATCGAATTCGTCGCGCTTGAAGAGTAGAGACTAAGTTTCGTTCATATCTTTAACATACGAGCTCTATTCTCGACGTTATTTATATCCATGCGTTGGTATTTACGAGTACTACAACTTTCATCTAGACCACGTCGATTAATTCTCATTCTATCTCAGATTTACAAAACTGCATCGAATTCGTCGCGCTTGAAGAGTAGAGACTAAGCTTCGTCCATATCTTTCGCATACGAGCTCCGTTTTCGACTGTCTTTTTATCGTTTAACTCCTATTAACGATATCTTCATTTCTCGTTTAGATTATTTTGGCTAAAAATCGACGGATCTAAAATTAGAATTTTCGGGTTGTGCACTGTTATGCTAAATCTTAGAAAAATCATAACTTCCTCATACGAAGCCAGATTTGGACGTTCTTTTTATGCACACTCTCGGTTTAACATATACTATGACTTTCGTTTAGATCGCTACGGCTAGAAAGTATTTTATCGTAAATTCACTTTTTACGATTCCCGGTGTCGTGCCGGTTTTGTCGTAAAACTTCGACGAGTCATAACTTCTTCGTTATAACTCGGATTTCGGCGTTCTTTATATGTACGGCACCCTTGTGACATTTACTATAACGTGGTTAAGATTACTCCTTCTAAATAATCTTCCATCAAAAAGTCATTTTTGACGCTCATTGTCTCTAAATTGACTAGCCCGAATCTGCGGGCGTTACAAATAGGACACAACATCACGAGAAATTTTATGCCTTCAAGGCAATTTCACCCTACCATTGAGGGCGTTTACAAATTCTATGAAGGCCTCGTTTTCAATGAATTCAGTGAATTTGGGATTACTTCGAGATAGAATGGATAAAGGGCCCAGTAATCCCACACATGAGTGGTACAATTATCTCTACCCTTACCTCGTCTGGTTGGATTAATCCGGTCTTTTAACTCCTTTTGAGTCATTTTTTTGTTTTTTGGTTTTGGTTTTGTTGGGTATTTTTCTTGTGTTCGCTTTCTTGGTAGTGGTGGTTTTTTTGTTTGTGTTGGTTTTTTTGGTTGTTTTTGTTTTGGTGGGGTTGCAAATTTTTGTTTTTTTGATGGTTGTTTTTCTTGTGCTCCTCTTCTTGGTCTGATTCGTCACTTAGTATAACATTGCATGTTGGTGTTTCTTCTATATAATCTTTTTCTGAATCTTCTCCATAACCCTATATTCTCAAAATAAAACATATAATTAGTACATTGTTAAATTGTTACTGAAACAAGAAAAGTAAGATTCGATATGCTTTCTTGCGGGCTTTGTAACTCATTCAATTTTTAACCAAATCAAGTGTTTTTAGAGTCTAAACTTATCTACAAAACCTAAACAACATGTAGGAAAAAGATTCAGTTCAATACAACTTAAAATGAGTGAGTTATGCACATTTGAGCAACAAAGTCATATCACGTTTAATTGTTGAAACATTAAAAAAATTGATTTGACATACTTCCTTGCGGGGCTTGTAACTCATTCAATTTTTAACCAAATCAAGCGTTTTTAGAGTCTAAACTTATCTACAAAACATAAACAACATGTAGGAAAAGATTCAGGTCAATACACATAAAATTGAGTGAATTATGCAACTTTCAAAAATTGGATATAATGCTAAAGAAGTAAATATTGCTAATCTTACTTGGTCATCAAAGTCTTTTCCAATCCAATTAGCCGGATTACCATCTTGATTATTGGCATCATGAACATCCAAGTTTCGGTATCTTGATGATGATATACTTGGTAACCCATTCAAATCCTACATTATCAATATCATACATTAATTATATAACTAAACAAATTCTTAGTTTCAACAATCTTACATTCATACTACAAACTAATCTAACAAAAATCTTGCATGCATGTCTACAAACTACAAAGTACATTGTTAAATGGAACTTAAAACATGAAATACAAATATATAATCTTCTTAATCTTCATGAGCATCCATAGTTCGAATTATTGAAGGTGATTGTTGAGAAGTTGATGGTTGTAGACTACTTTTTTTCATCTTTTGACATTACTTATTGATGGTTGAGATTTGAGAAGATGATCAATGATGGTGGATTGGTGATGATCGATGTCGACTTGAGAATGGAAGCAAAATATGAAGATGTCGACTTGAGAATTGAGATGATGATGAATTGATGATGATTGATGGAACCGGTAGTCGAACAATCTAATTGATGTCGAATAATCAATTATTCGGTAGGCAATTAACGAGATATGGAGATGTCGATCAATCTAATTGATCGACTTGAGATGATGACGGGTAGTGTTCATTAACGAGACATGCCGCATTTCTTTTTCTTTGAGGTCCAATTCGGAAGTACAAAAGGCGTGGGTTTTTTTTATAGCTTGTCCGGTTCGGTTCCCGGTTTTGGGCCGGTTCCAATGACCGGTTCACGGTTGCAAAAAACGACAATATTATAGTATCCGTCCCGGCCCGACCGGTTCCAGTACCGGTTCCCGGGTCCATATGCTCATCCCTAATGCAACCTGTAACAATGGCAAACTTGGTATTTGACTATATGTTTATTCTAAATATATACTGTTTTGTTAGAGTAGCGTCTGGTGTAACCCTGATTGTACTTGGTCAAAATTGAAGTAACTTCATTTTTTTCCTTGGATTCTTGATTTTTACTTTGCATTTTCAAGAAACATCCATAACAACCAAAACCTAAGAACTATGATATTCGTTCATATTTCAGTGTAAATACTTTCATGACTTTGTGTTTACCACTAATAAATTAAGACCATATATACATATCAATAAACGTAACACATATATACAAATCAACCTATGATGATATCTTCTACAGATTCAAATCAAAGAATAATGCACATATGTTCTTCATGGCTTCAGTTGAAAAAATATGAAGATTCTAGAACATCAGAAAGATCAAAGTCTCCTCTATCTGGCAAAGGTGGGAATGACAATGTAGGAAACGACTCTTGAAAGCTCTCCAACAACTGTTCATAATCATAATCATAATCATAATCAAAAACATTTCCATCAAAATTGATCCCAAAAAAAAAAATGAAAAATGAAAAAATACGTACGTTTTCCAATATGGGTGTCTGATAAAGCTCAACAAACTTCTCCCTTAAAATTCTATTCATTTCATCCACGTTGCAAGCATGCGTCCAGTATGAATCATGTACACCTGCAAATGCAATTATATATGATTTCAGTATGTGAAGATATATTATTGAAAACGGGTCAAATGTGTAAAAGTTGTAAAAGAAATGGGTAAAAGTTGTAAAAAAAAACCACCTGCAAAGTTCAAGCCTGCATGTTTACAGGCGACTGCGGTCATCATCATATGTGAACCATCGAGTGAGTGGACAAAATTTGGGGGAAAAGCCGTTCTTTGCCGCCTCACCATTACCTACAGGGACCATTTATGTAAATTTGCTAATAGGCAGGGACCATATATATAATTTTATGAAACATAGGAACCATTTCTGTAAATTTGTTATACGGAAGTGACCATTTATGTAATTTTTTGAAACAGAGATACCATTCCTGTAAAAAATAATTCTGCACAGGAACCTATTTTGTAAACTACAGGGACTGTTTTTGTAATTTGTTTTCTACGTAAGAACCGTTTGTGTAATTTTCTATTAAAACAAGGACTATTTTGTAAGTTAGATGGACCATTTTGTAGATATTTTTGTTGGCAGGGACTGTTTGGGTAAATATCCCAACAAATGCAAGGAGTAATAGAATTTTTACTCCCTATAATTAGGTTAAATGTCATAACAAGAAAGAAAACTGAAGTACAACTTTATGATTGGGTAGATTTTTATAGTAACAATTCCTTAAATAATAAGAAAAACATTGAATGTATAATGTAAAATACCTTTTCAGTTTCACGCTGCAGAGTCAATACTTGAAGAGAAGTTGAAACCTGCAACAATTACAAACAAAAAAAGATTTCAAATCTCCCGGTTGACTCGGTTTTGAATAAAAAAAAAAAAAAAAAAAAAAAAAAGTGAAATATTTAAAATTTGGTTGATGCTTACAAGATGTCTTCCATGTATGCGATAAGGTTGAACAACAGGAAGACCAAGAGGTGTAGTCCATCTTACTGGCTCATTTTCACAAGCTATTAACTGTGAAAAAAAAAAGATTTTATATTTTATAACAAAATTATATATATATATATATATATATATAGATATATATATATAATATATATATATATATTTTACTTTTTATACAAAATAGAAGCAAACAAACCTTTGCACAGTCTCCAAGCCAGTTCATGATATTACGTGCGCCTTCAAACATTTCCCCAAGTGCAGCTAAAGTTATCTGTCCAATTCCAATCAAATAATAACAAATATTTTTTTTATTGAGACATTTTAAAGTGAAAATTAATAAAAAAATTAAAAAGTTTGTTTGTTTGATACTTTTGCAGCATAACAAGCTGCAGCAAAAAGCTGAGCATCATCAGCAGAAATATCACTTCGTTCTTGCAGCCTCCTTTTAATCTGATCTCGAGCACCAATAAAAGTCACACCATAAACTGACGTCATCACTGTCTGCTTCACCAGCTTCCTGTCCACCTGGCATTCACATTAACATTTTTTATTACCAATTTGCCCTTGCTTATAAAAAATATTTACAAAAATCATAATACCTGATTGATGAGAAGTCGTGCATGTTTTGCATCTGGAAATGAATCCGGATCCAATTCTGCATCTCTTTTCACAATCTCAAGAACTCTGCATTATTTGCATTCAAAACTATTACTATATTATTTAGGGATTTTCCTTCATTCATGATTTAACTTTGGTTTAACAATTAACACAACTCACCTTGCAGCAATTCCTGAATACACATCAGCAGGTCTTTCTCCTTCAACCAAATTGACAGCTGTCGCCCCTAGCTGGAAGACAAAATTTACACAATCAACACACACACACATACATATATACACATAGTAAGGTTTCAAAAGGCAATTACTTTATCTCTTCCAAGAGCAGCATAGTGTTGTAAACCGTTGCAGGAACCATCCTGTAAACAAGGGAGAAGTTCTTGTTTTTATGAATTGACTATTATACCCCCGTTATAAATCTAAGTTTAAAATATCATCTATACCCTTCATCAACTTTCAAATATCATATTATATATACCCAAATTACTATTTTAATAAGTTAAAAACAATAAATAACTAAATATGATTAAAATAATAATTTGAGTAAACATGATATTTTGAAAGGTTATCAAGGGTAGAGATGATATTTTAAACTTAGATTTTACAATAGTGGTATAATAGTCAGTTCACAAAAATAAGGATTTAGAATTATTATAAAATGTTTAAAAACACATGGTATGGCCCGTGGGTTTATTAATCTTATATTTTCGACACAAATTTTCTAATGTTCGCTTACACATGGACCATTTCTGTAAATTCGCTATTAGACAGTTACCATTTTTGTAATTTTGTGAAACATAAGGACAATTTTTGTAATTTTGCTTTTAGGCAGGGACAATTCTGTAATTTTGTGAAAATCAGGGACCATTTTTGTAACTTTGCTTTTCGGCAGGGACTATTTCTGTAACTTTGTGAAATACAGGGACAATTTTTGTAAACTTTCCAAAAGAAAGGGAGCATTTCTATAACCTTACGAAACATACGGACCATTTCTGTAGACTTGCTATTAGATACGGATCCTTTGTGTAACTTTCTACTAAAACAAGGACCATTTTTCGGTTTTTGTAATTTGTTTTCTACATAGGGACCATTTGTGTAACTTTCCATTAAAACAGGGACCAAATTTAAACGTCATTCATACCTGATGCACAGGAATATAGGAAACAACAGTGTGAGGAGAAGGGCTTCTCAAGGCTTCAGCAAGATTAATACAAACAGCCAAACACTGAAAAGGATCTTCAGCATTCAACCACCATCGATCACCATCAAGTGGTCTATCAGCAGAATCAAAAATATCATCCAAATGATTTTCTGTAAAGTCTATTCTACCCTCACGTGACAGCTTATCGACCCCACCAACAGCATATAAATTCGCCAGGTGGATCTTTAGCCACCTCAGCCCTGAACTCCCAAGGGCCCGCCCCTCTGCAAATTCCAAAATGCCCCTGCAAAGATCTGAACCGAGATGGTTCAGGTGAGGTGGCATTGGGTAGGCCCTACCCCGGAAATCCAAATTGTGTGGGTAGAAAAATCCCGCTTCATCTTTCATCTTTCGTGCCACCTGTCACCTCCAATTACAAAAATAGCAATGTACTTATGTTTATTTGTATTTGTTATGTGTTATATCACTAGGTGTGACACCTGTGTACTACACTGATTGATTTAGAATTTAGAAAAAAGGTTAATAAGTATTCTTTTTTTTTTTTAAGTAAAATTTCGAAATAAAGAAGGAAGAAAAGTGTTTATTGCAATTTACTATCATGTTGCAAAACTGATCTTGGTTTATTACAGTAGATTACTTCGAATTCTATCCAATTATAGCATTGAACTTTCGATTTTTTTTTCTTATTAGGATTTTGTGATTTGAAAAATATACGTCGTTATTGTATAATGGAAATTGAGCTAAATGCAAGAATTAGCTACTTTTTCATTTATTTGTTTATGGTTAATCTCATAAAAGACCTTATATTTTGTGTTTTTTTCCGGATTAAACCTCGTCTTTATTTATTTCATGAAAAAGACCTTATGTTTTTTCATTTTTTCCGAAAAAAAAAAACCCTCAACTTTGTCTTTTTTTTTCCAGAAAAAACCCTCAACCTTCACAAATAAATCCTCAACTTTTTTAGTTTTTCCTGAAAAACCCTCACATTTTACAGCTTTTTTAGAGAAAAATGACTAAAAGGTCTAGACCGGAAAAAATGAAAAAATACAAGGTCTTTTTCATGAAAAAAAAAAAGTTGAGGTTTAATCTGGAAAAAACACAAAATATAATATGAGATTAACCCTTTGTTTATTATAGCATCCTGTTTTCATTTATTTAAATACAACATTGTACTTCCATTTTCTTTCTTATTATAGCATTGTACTTTCAAAAAATTTCTTCACTATGAAAATATGCCCAATTATATAGCAATGAAAACTATTTTGAATTTGGATGATGTTGCTATAATTCAGTAGATTTTTTAAAGTAAAATGTTGTAATATGAAAAGATGAAATTAGGATATGCTATAATAAACAATTAAATCAAAATACGTTGCTATTTCTTGCATTTAACCCTTTTAAACACCTCCGATAACTATAAAAATTTGATATGGGATGTTATATGGTTTTATCAAAAGTAAAAATTATTAAATTACAATCTTACAGTTAATTTGAGCTCAACATCACACCGTTGTGAATGTCTCTCTCTATTCTCCTTTTTCACCTTTTTAACTTTCCATTTCCACTTTTTCAATTCCTCTTCATCTTCTGTATCTGGTTTTTCTGGCAAAGGAATCTACAAGCAATAATCAAATTCAGAATTATCTTTTTGCAAAAAACAATAAAAGAAAAAAAACATTTCATTATATTCAAAATTCATAGTCAAACTCACATCATGTCGGTCAACCAAGCCAGCAAGGCAGCCACCATTTGACCATATTCGGTCAACCACACTTAGCACTCTCTTATTCACCCTCCATTTAGTATTTCCAAGGGTATCCAATGCCTGAAGAATCAAGACAATCAAACAATCAGTTGATTAAAGCAAAGGATAGATATGTCATTTTACATGAAATATAGAACGTACTTCAAGAACTGGCTGAAGATTCTCCTTAGGAGTCTTTTTAATCACTTCTCTCTTGTTGCTTTGCTCCATGTGTTCGCATTATAAAGGAAGGTAAGAAGAGGTAAGCTCCTTTGTCATAACTGGACACCATAAAAAAAGACATTGTATCAATGTTGAAGGACTAATGTTGTAAATTTGAAAGTATACGGACCATATATGTAAATATAGAAGTTTAACAAACTAAATTTTTTTTGTACCCTGTCCACTTTACAGGAGGTATCAACATTGGCATATAAGGGATAACCACATGCCTCGACTGTTTCATCAAATAAGAAAAAAAAAAAAAAAAAAGTTAAAATCCCGAATTTTTTATTGGAATAAATTGAAGAAATAGCAATGTATTTTCACTTATTTGTTTATTATGGCATCCTAATTTTATTTCTTTTTAGTACAACATTCAACTTTCAATTTTTTTCTTATCAAGACAAATGTAGTATATCATGGTACTTTGAATTGTTTTCTTATTATTGTACTTTAAAAATCCATCAATTGCTTTGTTTACAAATAGAATTGCTATAATTAGTAAAATTTTAAATTACATGAATAAATCAAAGTACATTGCTATTTCTTGCAATTGAAAAATCTGAATGCTTACAGCTCTCTCTAATCCTTTGCGCACTGATGGATCACATTCAATAACACCATATCTTCTTCCAGTCTTCCTGTTCAATAGGAAGCCATTATTCTGACTTTTGAGTCAAAGAAAACAAAACACTTGACTAGCTTTTGCAAAGATGTTGTTTCTTTTTTTACTTAATCAACTTAACAGGAATAGAACTTAATGTCTTAATCTAGTAAGCTCTGTATCTGTGTTTCTTTTTTACTCAAATACTTTTTAAACTTGTTTCTTTCAGACTTACTGTCCTTCTTTGACTGAAGTTCTTAATGTGTGCACAAATGCAGGTCTAATATCAGGAGGTGTATCACCCAATTGATCAGCTGGAGGCTGTATATAAGCAGATTGTAGAAGCAATTCAATCAAACGACTTCCAACCTAAAAAGAATTAAGACACATCAATATATACATATACATGTATGTATGTATCATCAGTTGAAACGTGTCAATATTCAATATGAACCTATGACCTCAAACCTGAGCTTTAACAGGCTGTGTCCATGGTTTTGAATCATCATATCCCTTCACAATATGACCTACAACCTGCAACTTCCCTTTTTTCATCAAGTTTGTAACTTTCTTATGTAGTCCCTCTTGTTCCTTCTTAACATCATCAGAAACATTTTTGTTTTCTTCACTTTTTGCAGCTTTAGCAGCTTTTTTTGTCTTTGTCTTCTCCAAGAATTTGTGTATCCTAATCTGATACATACCAAAAGGAATCAAAAACTGAGAAAACGTAAAGAAAGGGTTTACAAATTACAATAATCATAGATGATTACGCATACCTCCTGTTCAATGGCTTCACCAACACTACAAGAAGCAGATACGACTCTAGCACAACCATTCTCACCTCCTGTCATTATCAACCCCATGACCTTATGCATTGTGATAACAGCCATTTTATCAGATGGAAGGAGATCGAAATAAGGTGCATATGCGGCTTTGTGCTTTCCTTTCCTACATAATGCTTGATCTTGTTCGATCTTTTTGCATAATGGCTCAAACCACCCGAGAAATAATGACTTCATATAGGGTAAATTAGGTGCTAATTTCTGCTCACACATGTCGCTTAAAAGCTCTTTGTACTCTTTAGCTGCTAATTCCCATGCTTCTGTCTCAATCTTCACTTGCCGTTGTTTAAGTTTCATATAGTTCCAACTGCTGCCGGGTTTTTGCCCTCTTCTGCCGCCACCACCCCCTCGTCGCCTGCCGTTGCTTTTCTTTCCCCATTTCATTCAACAGTTTTTGAACCTCGTCGCCACCATTAATTTCGTCGTCTGCATCGGGAGATGAAGAAACAACAGCCTCTGCAACACTAGCGTACCTTTTTACGTTGAAGCCAACATGATTTCCCACTCCAATACGTTCATCTCTAGCGAAAACTTGACCCATTTCGAAGATATTTCTTTCCGGGTGTCCTTTAATGGATGAACAGCAATCGAACTCCATACCTCTAAACGGTAATTTCTCGGAAATAATTGGATTTCCGGAATACCCCAATAAAGTATTGAAGTTGCGACGAAATGGAAGTGAATCAAGGAAAGAACTTGCTGGGATTCTTGAAGAGGCTCGTTGGGAGATGCTTCGCCACATAACTTTTGATTTCTTTGATGAATTTAACTGAAAAACTTTTATGGGTTTAATATCAGTTGGGGCAAAATGGGGTTGAGAAATTGATATATCAAAGGAGCTATGGAATTGGGTGATGAACATTAATTAGGGGATGATTTTGTAAGAAAAATTTATGAAAGAACGACTGAATTTTGTTGTGATTAGTATAAGGGGAAGTAAAATTTTCGTATAAGTGAATCAGATGGTCGAAGAACACATCGGGATGTGGTGGGAAGACGAGGTTAAAACCCTGCATAAACCTTTGTGTGCGCCGCGCTAGAAATTAGAATCGAACCGACCTTTTCAGGAACGGGATAATCGGTGTGATACCATTTTTGAATGTACAAAATCATCAATCATGTAAAAGAGAGACCAAAGGCCATAAAAGCCTTAAGTTTAACATATTTGATTTTAATTTTTTTTTTTTTTTATGTATTTTTGGTTCATTAAAATTGGGGAAAATGATTTATCAAGCTAATTAACTTTTCGGTATGTTCACATCTGGGTAACTATTTTTTGTTGTACACATTTAAGTAACAAACTTGTTGAAAGTGTTCACATATTAGCATTATGGTCTGCTGTAGTAGGTTACATCCTAGATGTGAACACTTTCAACAAAGTTCGTTACCTAGATTTGTACAAAAAAAAAGTAGTTACCTAAATATGAACAAAACGAAAAGTAAGAGTAAACTACACGAATGGTCCCTGTGGTTTGGAGGAATTTGTGTTTTTGGTCCCTAACTAATTTTTTTAACTCGGATGGTACCTACCATTTATTTTTGTTGCGCGTTTGGTCTCTGTCTTACCTAAAAAGACTATTGTGTCCTTATTAATTTATCTTTTAATTAATTTTCTTATTTATGTATTTATTTTTTATATATTTAAAAAAATTAATAGACCCCACATATCTGTATCTCCTCGGATGATCCCTACTGTTTATTTTTTAATTAATTTTTTTTTAACTCGGATGATCCCTACTGTTTATTTAGTGATATCGACGTCTTCACCATCCCTTCTTTTTCCGGTCCTTCAACTCCATCGAGTTAACACCACAACCCAGTGAACCCACTAAAGATGAAGAGAGAGTGGGTTATGGTATTGGTTCGCCAGAGTTGAAGGACCAAAAAAAGAAGCATGGTGAAGACGTCGATGTCACTAAAGATGGAAAAGAAATAGAAGTTGAGGAGGATGAGAGATAGGATGGTGACCGGTGAGACCCAAATTAAATTTCTCAAATGTGGTTTCAGGTTTACGGTGAGGAGATACAGATATGTGGAGTCTATTAATTTTTTTAATATATAAAAAATAAATACATAAATAAGAAAATTAATTAAAAAATAAATTAATAAGGGCACAATAGTCTTTTTAGGTATGACAGGGACCAAACGCGCAACAAAAATAAACAGTAGGGACCATATGAGTTAAAAAAATAAGTTAGGGACCAAAAACACAAATTCCCCCAAACCACAGGGACCATTCGTGTAATTTGCTCTTACTTTTCGTTTTGTTCATATTTGGTAACTATTTTTTTTGTACGCATCTAGGTAACGAACTTCTCAAAAGTGTTTACATCTAGGATGTAACCTGCTACAGCATGTCATAATGGTCATATGTGAACACTTCTAACAAGTTTGTTACTTAGATGTGTACAAAAAAAAGATAGTTACCCAGATGTGAACATACCGAAAAATTAATTACCTTGATAAGTCATTTTCCCTTAAAATTGAAGGCTTATATTTTTTTCAATTTGATTATTTCATGTATTTCAGGTTCATTAAAAACCTTTAAATTTGGCATAATGTTCGGTTTTATCCATTTTTCCGGTTCATTAAAGTCATTAAAGCCTTTAAGTTTGACATAAATGTTCAATTTTATGTTTAATCTTATCTGGTAATCTGCAGAAATATCCGGACCAAACCCACACGTCGGCTGTGTGAGCCACCTTATCAAATGGAATTAAACGTAAGTTTAATTTAGGTCTGATCTAGACTCACATGTCGGCTCACACACACAACCACCTTATCAAACAGAAGTAGATCTAAGTCCAACTTAGAACAGAACAGAAACGGGCCCGAGCCGGATTCATAGGTCGGCCCAAATAACTTTGCAAAGACAATTTTGTTAAGTTACGTTATAAATAACCTCAAGCATAAGCATAAAAACAGGTACGAACTCCAAAAGTGGCTCCAAAAGGAAAATAAACACGGATTGACAATATTCGAAGATAAAAATGAGGGAATCCATTACATATCGAGACAAAAGGGGAAACCAGTGCAAAATACATACATCAGAAATATAAAAAAATCAAATGAAAACCAACATCACACACAATGGACTTTCATAACAAAGCGAATAAAGACTACGATCAAACACCATCATTGATAGAAGGCTCGCGCACAACACCTTTCGTATCTCGAATCAAGTCCCTAAGCTCAGCCACACCTAATCCTCCTTCCCTTAACTTCTTCAAAAAAAAAATCCTCCACAACAATCTTATTCAACTAATTGTGAACCGTGCTCAAAGTGTCTGAATAATCATACACCAGAACGGCCGACTCCACCGGTGAAAGATATCGATTCTTCATCTCGGCATAACCCTTATGAAGACCATATCGAAATACAAGCAGTCGAAACTCGTACATTTGCATGACCATGCTCATGCGAACGTAAAAAACGAACAAGCGCACCATGTACACCTTCCTTCACAAGCCAGGTGACATCCGAAAAACTCTTCTCAAACTGTTGACGACATCTATATAGCTCCTACGAAATTACCATTTTGTCATTCTTTAAACTACTCAATCGATGGTCCACCTCTAAGCCAACCCTAAGTGTTGTACTTGACCCTACAACTCATAAACCATATCCTTGCTAACAGAAAACTCCTCACAAACACTCATCAGCCCACGTTCCAAAGAGCCAATCACCTTCTCTTCATCTTCCATCAACAACCTCAAATCTTCCGCTAACTTGTTCAACACATCATGATTTTTACACTCTAAGAGACTAACCCTCTCCTCCAAATCAACCATTTTATCCTAACTACAACTCATATGAAAAACCTCTTGTACCAAGGAAAGCTTAGAAGCAACTGCTTGCTGAGTCTTAACCTTGGCCTCTGCAAACCTTCCGATGAAGATCATAGTTCTCAAACTCTAAGGATTTCACATGAAGGAGAGCCTTTTCAATTGGTATAATAAAGAAGATATTTTTTGTTCACCTGATGACCTATGCTCAAGATGGAGTAAAATCTCATCAATAGAAGTTATATTCCTCGAAAGATCTTCATCAAGTCTTTTCCTCAAAGTTCAGTCAGAAATTTCCTTAATATCCTTAAGAGAATTAGAAGGAAATTCTTGAAACGGAAGAAGACCGGAGGAATCATCCATGACCTGGGGAATTATAGCCCCTTACTTTTATAATGAACGTTAGAGGAAGTGGGGTCAGGCAAACAACTATATGAGAATCCTTATCTACATTTTCCACTATCGTAGAAGAATCTCCTTGCCAAAGCCGCCTGCGATATTTCAATATGTTTCAACAAAAGAGGTCCGTTATTAGGAAAAACACCTTGAAAAAGTCGGGTGCATAGTCAGATAAGGAAAGTACAAGACCATCATCTTTCATGAAGGATCCAGACAAACACAAATTGAAACTGACATTAGAAATATGGATATCATCTATAGGGATGTTGAATTGATCAAACAATCATAAATACAGAATTTGATGGAAACACTAGATCATTTGAAACTTTGGAAGTTACCAAAGATGAACACCCAAGACCGGATAAAGGAACATCGACCATAATAAGGCTTGGTACTTCTGAAGGAACCGAGGCATTGGACAACACATGATCATCTGGTCTTGAAATATTAACAACCGGATCGATGGGCTTTATTTGCTTAGAGAGAACGGAAGGTGTTCCTCTTGATAGGTCCTTATTCTTCCTCTTCTTGACAAATATCACCCGTAAAAAAAGACTCGACGGGACGAGCTGCTTTGGTAGAACATTCCCCATATGAAACCTGCTTGAGGGGACGGGTCGTGGGATCGACCTTAGATTTCTTAGGTTGCGAGCCAATTTCATCTTCTATAAAATCCTGACATCGGACCTCCAAGCTAAAATCCTAGGAGTTGGAAAGAACCCTAATAGTTTCCAAGTCATGGGACCGGACCCTCAAAGGTATCTTCCTAAGTTTCAAACCGCCCTTAGGAGCTTCTTGCATCAAAATAAAAATCAAAGGCACCTCCAGATCCTTGAAAGTCAAAACAGTCCTTTTGCCTTTGTCATCCCAGTATGGGCTCAATTTGGCAATCCCCAAGTGAACCTCCTTCGGAACTCTCTACTTAATGACATGAGTAGATAAATCCCGGAAAATTACCTCCTTCTTAGGAGAAATATCTAGACTCGGGTCGGCAGGACGCTTAGAAGTCTTGCCAATGGTGATGGGAAATGGAAACGCAGAAAAGTCTACAAAGAAAAGAATTCCTGCTTCCAAAGCTTTATAGAGTCAGAAAGACTCAAGCAGATATCGAATACCACTTGTCTAATATAAAAATTTATCCAATCCCCAATCGAAGTCGTATAATAAGTGAAAAATATCGATATGGCACAACACTTAAAGCTTTACACAATAGTAAGAAGCACGTTACCTTTCGAAAACCATTAGGGATGATCTGTGTAATGTAAATCTTTTAAACCCGACAAACATCCCATATGAAAGAACATGCCAGAAACCATAATCTTACAAGAAGGAATTGAAGATACATACCCACTTGATTGCTCCTAACATCTCTTATAGATGTTTTAGAATGAGGGGTCGCTGAGAGAAAGCCCTTGTGTATTGTAACATCCCAAAAGTATGATAAAAAAAATTCATTTTTAAAAATCAATAGTTTCAACCATCAAATTGTTCCAAAACATACACAATGTACAATATCAAAGTTATCAAAGTAATAATATTCAAAAAGTGCGGAAATCATGAGAGGAGGATGTTGTGCCATCACGTCGGGCTCTTCCCCTTTGTACTGGAAATACCTGAAACCATAAACATAAACTGTAAGCACAAGGCTTAGTGAGTTTCCCCAAAGTACCACATACCAAACATACAATTGGGCCTAGCCTAGGGGTATATTTCAACCCAATAAACAAATATGAGCCCCGCCTTGGGGCCTCGCCCTGGGGTATATTTCAACACAAACATGCCATAGTGGGTCCCGCCCTGAGGTGTATTTCAACCCAACATACAACAGTGGGCCCCGCCCTGGGGTGTATTTCAACACGATAATATGATAGCGGGCCCCGCCCTGGGGTGTATTTCAACCCGATCACACAAATAAATATATACCACA